ATATATATATATATATATATATATATATATATATATTAAAACTGTGTGTAAATTGTTTTAAAAGAAAACACACAAATCCATGCCTAAATAGCATTTTTTAAAAAGCTGAAAATTGCAGAAATAAAAATGTGTCCTTAAGTTTAATTGCATTTAAAAAGACAAAAAAATTTTTTTTTTTTTTACAAAAATATATTTAATTATATACATTTTAAAATCGTTGCTTAAATTGTATTAAAAGGACAAATTTACAATGTTTCCTTAAATAGCATATATTTTAAAAAGGCACAAAACCTTACTTAAAATAAATAAATGCAGTGCTTGTATTTCATTTTTAAATCCTTACTTAAACTGCACATAAAAAAAGCATTGGCTTCAATTGCATGTTAAAAATTAAATAAATAAAAAAGATGTCAGAAAGGTTCCCCTAATTGCAGAACCAACACCCATTTGTGTTCTAGTGTTTCTCTTGGCACATGTGTTATTGCCTCAACAGTTATTTGTGTCCTTTGGTAATTGCCATTAACACAAGAAATGCTCTTTTTTTGTAAGTCTCTTTGGCTGGAAAGGGGCTGCCAAAAACACAAACGTAAATGTAAATAGCAAAATTCAATTAGCATCTAGCTTGAGCGTGTACCGCGGTTCTCAGTGTTTACTCTGGTAAGCTGCTCCAGTCTGGGTGGCTGCCAGAGCTGCTTAATTGCACAGGGATCGTTTTGAGTAATTAGGCAATCGGAATATCCACTAGTTTTAAATAAGGCAAAGAGCTAATCTCAGCCGGCAGCCAGCACTCTGACAGAGGAGATGTAGGATCGCTAGAGTCCCGCGAGAGCCGCTTTAAAGGCCTGTCACGAGAACTGTTTGTCTTGAGCGATGTGCATCTCACAGCCTCGTGTTATCAGCTGACGCATGATGCCACTGGTTCGGTAGTGACACACATTCACCACTTTATTCAAACATCTCACGCTCTGCAAGCTTACACAGTTTAGTCTCCTCTGTGGATCGAATATTTCCAGATATGCATTCCTGAGGGGCACGATGCCATCTTTCCATATGTCCGTCTACATACTCGAGAGATTCACTAATATGAACAGCGCCTGCTGATAGTGTCTAAAGGAAATCCAGTTGAAACCAGGTGACAAATAGAACAAAGTTAACACTGGCAGTCAAACAATGACTTTCTTCAAAAATAAGTCTTATTTACATAGAAAGGAGGCGTTTGCACAGACAAGTTCTTAATTTAAACACCATTAAAGTTACCACATGCAAATATTTAGCAAATTCACCACTCAGTCTGCCAGTTATTGAAGACGAATGCTATCTTTTTCCACAATAAAGCTTATAAAACCCAGATTAATTGTTTTTTTTCCACAAAAATCTTCTAAAAACCAGGTATCGGAAACTTTTTTCCAAAATTAAGCTTTTAAAACCCAGAATCGGCACTATTTTTGCGACAATAAAGCTTATAAAACCCAGAACTGAAATGATTTTTTTCCCCCACAAAGTTTCTAAAACCCGGAAATGGAATCACATTTTCTACAAAGAGCTTCTTAAACCTGGAATTGGAGTCACTTTTTTCCACAAACCTTCTAAAACCTGGAATCAGAATCACTTCTTTCCACAATAAAGCTTCTAAAAACTAAAACCGGAATCAGTTTTCCCCGTAAACTTTCTAAGACCTGGAATTGGAATCACTTTTTTTCCACAAAAAAAGCTTCTAAAACCCAGAATCGGAAACACTTTTTTTCTATCGGATACCGGATATCGGATATCGGATACCGTTTTTACCAGCTTTCAAAACCTGGAATTGGAATCAGTTTTTGTTGTTTGTTTGTTTTTTTATAATAAAGCTTCCAAAATCCACAATCTAAAACCTTTTCCACAATACAGCTTCTAAAACCTGGAAATGGGTGCTTTTTTCTTCACAATATTAATTTTAACAAAAATGATCAAACCCGGAATTAGAAACTCTTCTTTTCACAAAAAAGTTTTTTAAACCCAGAATCAAAATCACTTTTTTTCCACAAATCTTCTAAAACCTGGAATCAGAATCACTTTTTTCCACAATAAAACTTCTAAAAACTAAAACCGGAATCACTTTTCCCCATAAACTTTCTAAGACCTGGAATTGGAATCACTTTTTTTCCACAATAAGGCTTCTAATACACAGAATCAGATACCATTTTTACCAGCTTTCAAAACCTGGAATCGGAATCACTTTTTGTTGTTTGTTTGTTTTTTTTTACAATAAAGCTTCCAAAATCCACAATCTAAAACCTTTTCCACAATACAGCTTCTAAACCCTGGAAATGGGTGCTTTTTTCTCCACAATATTAATTTTAACAAAAATGATAAAACCCGGAATTATAAACACTTTTTTTCACAAAAAAGCTTTTTAAACCCAGAATCAAAATCACTTTTTTCCACAAATCTTCTAAAACCCAGAATTGGACTCCCTTTTCCCCATAAACTTTCTAAAACCTGGAACCGGATGCTATTTTTTAAATTAATAAAACCAGAATCTGAATCACCTTTTCCCCACATTACAGCTTTTAAAACCCAGAATCGGAATATGGATCACAACTTCCCTTCCCTAACTCATCTGTGTTAGGATAGTTCAGATTAGCATGTGTGTGTTAAAATGCTTAACTGCATGAATAACCTCAGCTCACAAACCAAAGCCCTGCGTGCCGTACTAACAGTGAAAACCTCTGTGATGTAAATACAAGAGACACGTGACCTGCGCTCAGAGCAAACACTTGACACGCATGCTAATAGCTAATTATGAACTATGGGGATTTATTTACCTGGAAAAGCTATTAGCCTCCCAAGACCTCCATTGCCATCATCACCAAACTAATGTCCCTGTACAGCTTGAGGGAGGAAGAGCGAGACGGAGAGAGAAAGATCCTGTTGGAAAAAAGAGAAAGAAAAAGAAACAAATATAGACCAGTTTGGACCAGCTTAAATTTTAAGATGGTTTTGAAGCTGCAGTGTGTCTTTTCTGCACCACTAGTGACACCAAACCTAAAAGTAATGTTTGTTACATGACCTTGAAATAAATGAAATACTTTTACATATATTAAAAACAATAAAATAAATAAATAAATAATAAACAAATAAAATTACCTTTAAAAAGCGAAATGCCTTAATATGAACAAATGAATACATAAAATAAAATACCTATTATTTAATTAATTATATATATATATATATATATATATATATATATATATATATATGTGTATGTGTGTGTGTGTGTGTGTGTGTGTGTGTGCGCACATATTATTAAAATACTTCAATATAAATAAATAAAAACTGTATATGTAAAATAAAATACAATATATTAAAATATCAATAAATAAATAAAATACCTTACATTTTTTGAGTTTGTGGTTAGTCCTTTTGTTCAAACAATGGAAGACAGAATGATGGAAACCTGTTTGAAAACAATTAAATAATAATTTATTGAAATAATATATCATTACATAGTGAACTGCTACACTGTCACATGACCTCGTTACATTATTTAATTAAGTTGAATGCACTGCAACTGCATGAATAACCTCAGCTCACAAACCAAAGCCCTGCTACTAACTGTACTAACAGTGAAAACCTCTGTGATGTAAATACAAGAGACACGTGACCTGCGCTCAGAGCAAACACTTGACACGCATGCTAATAGCTAATTATGAACTATGGGGATTTATTTACCTGGAAAAGCTATTAGCCTCCCAAGACCTCCATTGCCATCATCACCAAACTAATGTCCCTGTACAGCTTGAGGGAGGAAGAGCGAGACGGAGAGAGAAAGATCCTGTTGGAAAAAAAGAGAAGAAAAAGAAACAAATATAGACCAGTTTGGACCAGCTTAAATTTTAAGATGGTTTTGAAGCTGCAGTGTGTCTTTTCTGCACCACTAGTGACACCAAACCTAAAAGTAATGTTTGTTACATGACCTTGAAATAAATGAAATACTTTTACATATATTAAAAACAATAAAATAAATAAATAAATAATAAACAAATAAAATTACCTTTAAAAAGCGAAATGCCTTAATATGAACAAATGAATACATAAAATAAAATACCTATTATTTAATTAATTATA